AAAAAAAAACAAACAGGTTAATGAATTTAAATGGACTGTTTTTTTTTAATTGGTGACGTTGCATAACTATATATATATATATATATATATATATATATATATATATATATATATAATCGAATCGGACGCTTCGTTATCTCAAAAACTGTAATACTATTTTTGGAATTTTTTGCTCCGTATCTCCGAAATGGCTGGACCTGCCTTCGCCAAAAACTAACCAGCACGTCACTTTAGCAATAAGAATCGAATGTCTTTTGAATTATTCAATTCAGTTGATCTGTCGACGAAAATCGTCGACGAAAATTTTTATCCGCACACACACACACACGGGTATGCCAAAATGTTCAGAAACCTCTGAAACGTGAATACATATAAACAATTTCATTTTTGTTTTTTTTTGCGATTGCAATAACTTGTCCTAAGGAAAGTTAAAAATAATAGAATATTTTTCCGGAAAATCTAGTTGTAATTTTTTTGTCAGTATAGTTTATTTTTACTAAATATTATAACATTTACTATTTTGCTTGTCAGTAGAATACCTTTTCTTCTAGTAAGTTATTTACACTTATCAATAGTTCTTTTTTAGACAGACACATTGATTATTTTCAGTGAAATTTTACTAATTTTATTAAAAAAGTGAATCTCAACTTTTGACAGTTTGCTCGGCAGTAGAGTCCTTTATTATTTCTCATTTAATTTTGATAAAATATCACCAATTTGAGAAACAAATCGCTTGACTGTAGAGTTCTCTTTTTAAAAAATATGGAGGTAAAAATTGAAAAAAAAACTTGGAAAAAACAATTGTTGCAAGATTTAGATTTGACTCGAAAAAGGACTCTACTTTTGACCAAACTGTAAAAAATTGATCCAAAAAATTCAAACTAGAGCAATTTTGATTTTCAGAAATGATTTAATACCATTTTGTTTATAATTATTACAAAGCAGAAAATAAAGGAACTGGACAAGCAAACGAAATCACAATTTAATAAGTTGTAATAGTATTAGTAACGAGTAGTATTGTGACTGTTTTTTATTGATAATTATGATATATACATACATATATATATATATATATATATATTATCTATATATATATATATATATATTTTAAATTTTTTATATACTTTTGATGTTGAAATATCAATTCAGGGCAATACATCAATTAAAAATTTGTATGACTTTAAACATTTTATTTTTTCCATACGTTTCGACACATAGTTTTGTGTCATCTTCAGTGAACTCATTTTGAAGGCACAGATCAAAATTATTAATTAAAACTAATATATAAGAAGTGATATGGTATGAACTTACATGTGATTGTA